CATAGGCAGAACACTCTATGACATAAATCACAGCAAGATCCTTTTTGACCCACCTCCTAGAGAACTGGAAATAAAAACAAAAATAAAAATTAAAAAGACCAGACATTTCTCCAAAGAAGATATACAGACTGCCAACAAACACATGAAAGGATGCTCAACATCACTAATCATTAGGCAAATCAAAACTACAATGAGGTATCACCTCACACCAGTCAGAATGGCCATCATCAAAAAATCTACAAACAATAAATACTGGAGAGGGTTTGGAGAAAAGGGAACCCTCTTGCACTGTTGGTGGGAATGTAAATAGATACAGCCACTATGGAGAACAGTATGGAGGTTCCTTAAAAAACTAAAAATAGAACTACCATATGACCCAGCAATCCCACTACTGGGCATATATCCTGAGAAAACCATAATTCAAAAAGAGTCATGCACCACAACGTTCACTGCAGCTCTATTTACAATAGCCACAACACGGAAGCAACCTAAGTGTCCACTGACAGATGAATGGATAAAGATGATGTGGATAAAATGGATAAAATATTCCATATATACAATGGAATATTACTCAGCCATAAAAAGAAACAAAATTGAATTATTTGTAGTGAGGTGGATGGACCTAGAGTCTGTCATACAGAGTGAAGTAAGTCAGAAAGAGGAAAACAAATACGGTATGCTAACACATATATATGGAATCTAAATTAAAAAAAAAGAAAAGAAAAGCTTCTGAAGAACCTGGGGGCAGGACAGGAATAAAGACGCAGAAGTAGAGAATGGACTTGAGGACACGGGGAGGGGGAAGGGTAAGCTGGGATGAAGTGAGAGAGTGGCACGGATATATATACACTACCATATGTAAAATAGCTAGCTAGTGGGAAGCAGCTGTATAGCACAGGGAGATCAGCTTGGTGCTTTGTGACCACCTAGAGGGGTGGGATAGGGAGGGTGGGAGGGAGGGAGACTCAAGAGGGAGGAGATATGGGGATATATGTATATGTATAGCTGATTCACTTTGTTATAAAGCAGAAACTAACACACCATTGTAAAGCAATTATACTCCAATAAAGATGTTAAAAATAAATAAATAATTTCAAAAAGGTGGTCCCCAAGACTGATAAAGTTACTGGTAATTAGTAGAATGCATTCCAATTAGTTAGCTCAGTAGTACTTTTTCTGTGAAAAAAATTTTATGTTTATATATAGAGGCAAATGTAATACATACACTTTCCCTGCAATTTCATAAACCGAAATTTCAATAGTGATCTTTGGCTATGATAACCACATCTCATATATTTTAGTGTAAAAAATAAATTTGAAAAAATAAATGTACAACCACCCACAACAGCAGAAGAAAAAGAAAGAAAATTTTAGAAAAAAAGAATTTTCAAGCAAAACTTGTATTACCAGCAGAGAGGTAAGGAAGAAGCAGCTGAAAGGAGATGATGTGTTGCCTGGGAATAAATAAGTATATGCAGGGAAATGTAACACGTAAAATTCCTGGGGAGGGATATGGTTAATGGAAGACACATACAAAATAGGCACAGATGTTTAAATTTAAGAAGAAAAAAAGCTACTGTGGCTTTGGTGGCAAAGCAAGCATAAATATGGGATTCATGAAAAGGTATAGTGAAATTTTCTAAATGGATATTTTATCGAAGATATATGTGGCAAAACCAGACAAAGCCTCCTCATCTTATAAAACGATGTATCAGCAAGAGCCATTCAATTAAAAAAAATGAATGAGCCTTAAAAGTCAATTTGTGTAAAAGAACCTTCTTGAGTACATATAAAAATTACAATACAATCCTCAAAAAGCTAAACAGAATTACCATATGACCCAGCAATTCCATGCCTAGGTGTACATCAAAAGGAACTGGAAACACGTATGCAAACAGAACCTTGCACGTGAATGTTCAGAGCAGCACTATTCACAACAGCCAAATGGTGCAAACAGCTGAAAGGTCCATCAACGGATGAACGGATAAACACAATGTGATACATCCATACAACAGAATATTATTCAGTCATAAAAAGAAATGACGTCAACACATATGCCACACCGCGGACCAACCTTGAAAACATTATGCTAAGTGAAATAAGCCAGACGCCAAAGGTACATATTGTATGATTCTATTTATATGAACTATCCAGAAAGGGTAAATCCATAGAGACAGCAGATCAGGTGCTTGGAAAAGGAGGATGAGGAGTGGCTGCTTAAGGGGGACAGAGTTTCCCTTTGGGGATGAAATATTTTGGAACTAGTTAAAGATGGTGGCTGCACAACACTGTGAGTGTACTAAAGGCCACTAAATTGTACACCTTAAAATAGTTAATTTAGCTGCTATGTGAATTTTACTTCAATTTTTTAACAAAGTATAATGCAGAAGGTTCAGAAATGTGAATGCCCAGTCTTTCAGACATAAATTCCTCCCTTCAGACCATTCAGCCTATCATTATGAACCAGATTTCCTAAAACACCTCAACAGGCCCCTTGTCTCTCTGTCAGATGCTTCTTTGTTTCATGAGAACCCCTAACCCTGGGAGAAGATCCTACTTTCCCCAACCATCTCGGAGACTCCCACACAGAGGATGGGCAAATTAAGAGCAGAATTCCACAGCATGGGGTGAGCCACGCTCTGTCTGTTGAAGAATGCATTCATTCCACACAATTTTACTGAGGATGCCTACTGTACAAAGTACCGCAACTACAGAGACAGATAAAACACAACCCCGACCTCCAGGAACTCCTAGAAGAATAAGAGAAAAAGAACTTTACAAAAAGAGAAGGCAGAGAATTTACAAACAATATGGAAAGAAGGCATAGGTGGTAGGAGAGGAGCCTGAAGGGCACGTGTGCTGGGGAGATGGTGGATCAGGGAAAGTCCTCTTCTTCGGGACAAGAAGGAATTAACCAAACAAAAAGGGGGAAGAAGAGCCTTCAGACACATATGAGGAGGCAGCAGATGACGTGCAGCGAGGCAGCTGTGCAGCAGGAGAAAAGGCTTGGAGAGCTCTCAGTGACACGCCTGATTTTACAGGATGGAGACCAAGCCGTGAATGCCCACGGTTCCATCTGGTTCCACTCAGATCCAATAACCAATATCTACCCTTTACTTCCGGACAGGCTGGGACCAGACAGGTCCTGAGCGACCACAGAGTAGAAGCACCAAGGAATGGCTGCCCACTCTCCACACGGATCTTTCCAAGAGTTTTTCTCCAAAGTGCAGTGGGACCAGGTGGGGAGGTAAGGCAGGATCTCAAAAAAGGAATTAATCTGAAACCTGCCATTCTCATTTTCCATAGCTTTGTTCAAGGTCCCCTCGTGGTCTCTCAATGCCCTTCACCTCTCCAACAACTGTGGCCCACAGAGACAAAGGCAGCCTCACCTCTCTGTGATCCCCACCTCACTAATGTTCACACTTGGGGAGAATCTGTCTTATGTTAAGTTGTTCCCCCTAGCTATGTTCTAGTTTACTTAAAGACAGAGGCTATGTCATTTTTTTTTTCCCCTGTCTTTTTGTGGGGAGTGGGGCGTGGTACACTAGACCAACACAAGGCTCAGTGTAATACACACATACTTGGAAGAAATTATACTTTGGACAAATGGGATCAGAAAATATTCTACATACCTAGAAATGTTATCCAAGTAGTAATTTTCAAAGTTCACCTGAAAGCAATTTATGAAGTCTGGAAATTCTTACCTTCCCATTCTCACCCAGGGGGTAAATAGGTCATAATATAAATTAGACCAAATTCTGTGCTATTTTGCCATTTTAAGTTAATACTCATCCTAGACGAGTGTCTATTTAAAGGGCACATAACACAAATATCTAGCAGGCCCATGAAGACATCCATCAAAACCATTTGGTTTTGAAGGAATGAAAGAAGACAATCATTCATGTAATGCCAATAACGAAGAACACGTCTACACTTTGACATCGTTCTTGAAGGAGGGGAGGAAAATAAAATCTCATTCCATTAGAAAACAACTAGACCTCAGGCGGCTGCCTCTGATCAGGTTACCTGTTAACACTGTCATTTGCTATCTGGATTCCGCAGTCTATTTGCAACACTGTTTTATAATCCACATAAGCTTTCTGATACCGCTCTAAAGTTTCATAGGCCATTGCTCGTCGAAGAAGAGGCTTCATTGAGAATGGACGAAGTTCCAGAGCCCTAAAGGAGACAGAAATATTACACTGTCATTTGTTTTGAAAATTACTCCCTTACTTACGCTAACTGAATGTATCCGATAGGACTGGACTCTCACATGCATTCATATCTGATATTTTACCTTGGGGATCTGGCAATATACCAGAAAGGCAAACCCAGAGTAGCAGAGCAATCAAATCTGTGGTTACTTCCTTTCTTTTAAAACAGTATCGAAGCCCTTTGGCATTTACTCTTTCCCCCAGTGAGACTGAACTCCCTGACAGCAGGCGGTGCCCTCCCTCCCACTCCCCTGTGTACTAGCAGAGCCCATCATGGCACCAAGCACAGAGTAGGCTTTCAACAGGTTCTTGTTATTGACAGATTAAAAGGAAAATTTTTATTTGCACCTATGTATTTAATAAGGCACTTAGCAAAGAACCACAAAATCTACACTGCATTTTGAAAGTAAGCTCTCCAAAACTTAATACAGGTGATTATGATTTACTTGCTGCCAAAGGCCTTCAAACATAGACCCGAGGAAATCAAGGGAGTAAGTACCCAATGATTTCTTGTAAGTCATGAATTTTCACCTTGTACTTTTTAGTCTATGAAGCATTTCCAATATCACTAGAGATGTATTTCAAGGTTATGTTCCTTGGTTTTGTCTGAAGTAACTGCTTAAAGCTACCTTACTACTTAAGGCACTTCATTATATTCTGAAACAAAGAATACAATCAAAAGATTGTATTTATGAATGAAAACTATTGTACTCTTAGTTTTAACAAAATCAACTGAAACTGTAAAGAAGTACTCCGTGCAGAGATCCTATGAAGAGCTAATAATCCACTAACAAATCTCTGTGCCAGACTGCCCACAGTGGGGATAAAGGTTTGCTAATTCTTATGCATGAGCATTTTATATATCAGACATTTAACTTGCTTCAGGAAAAGCACGAGGGAGGGCTTCTTGACTTTTTCCCCAACAGTCCTAGAGATCTGCTGTCTATTCCTGTCTACAGTGATCTGGAAGGAGGAAGCTCCGACAACATCTGCCATTGCTAGTCTCTGCAGACATTCTCATCTAATGTCACAACAAGCCTGCAAGGTAAATAGTAACATGTTCATGTTGCAGGTGAGGAAATGGAGAGACACAGGGAGCAGTCTGCCCACTTGCCCGTTCTTCTGAATTTAAGCTGCAGGAAAGCACTGGCATTGCGGGAGCTGATCACCACTGTATCCCAGTGCCTAGATCACTGCCAGGCCACTGGAGGGACTCGGCAAACCCCTCCCAAATGAACCTGCAGGGCCTACACTCTTTCTACCACGAACAGAAACAAGAGCACCACAGATAAAGGAACTCAGAGTCACCTGCCACTCAGGGTCCCCAACCCCGGGGCCACGGACCGGTACCGGTCCACGGCCTGTTAGGAGCCGGGCTGCACAGCAGGAGGTGAACGGTGGGTGAGCAAGTGAAGCTTCATCTGCCGCTCCCCATCTTCGCAGCCCCTTGCATTACTTCCTGAACCATCCCCCCAATCCGAGGAAAAGTTGTCTTCCGCAAAACTGGTCCCTGGTGCCAAAAAGGCTGGGGACCGCTGCTCTTCGTCGTACAGATACTCAACTGGGTGTGTTCCTCAGCTGTGTATCATAGAATTTGTTCTAGAAATGTCATTAAACCTAATTAGCTTCATTTCTTTGAAAAATAACCAATTTTGCTTTGCCTAAGTGTTAGGATTGGGGATGATTTTAATGATCTCCTTTGCGTTGTACTGGGTTTTAAGATTTTTTTGTATAATAGGTATGTATTACTCTTGTGACCAGTAAAAGTTATTTTAAAAATAAAATTAAAGTCTATTAAAAACACTCAAACACTAGAAAACAGGTTTCTGGGCATCTGTACCACTGCCTTAAATCTACCTTAGTTAAATGCTTAGGGAATATTAACTACACAGTGATTATAAATATAGGTCACAAACACAAGACTACCCCCATTTTACCAAAGACTTCCAACACCCAAGGTGCTATTTATCCACAAGAGAGACCTTGTGGTAGGCGTGGAATCTAAAACTGAATGAGATGATGCATTTAATTTTTAGCATTGCCCAGCCAAGTAAATGCAAGGTTTTTTCTCTTTAACCGCAGTCCTGAAAATGAATGTGAGCTTTTAAGTGAAAATTCCACTAGAAGAAAAAAAGAAAAAAAAAAAAAGCACATCCATTCATAAAAACAAACACAGAGAACTTTTAAACCAGAGTTTACAAAAGCTTAACTATTCAAGTTAACACAGTTAAGACTCTTAAATCGTCTTCTAATTTCAAGTCCGTCTGTGAGCAACAAAGATGAGAAAAAGCAGAGAATTACTAGGCAACATTCATTTGTCTTGATTCTGTCAGAATACCCTCAATGGAAAATCAGTGAAAGATTTTTGATGTGGTTTAGATAACCCAAAAAGATTCTCTGACAGATGGGAACAGTGAAGATTCTTCTTTTAGCTGATAAGCAGTTATGAGAATGACAAGTAATTTCTAGAAATAATTCTAGAATTTCTAGAAATAACTCTAGAATTATTTCTAGAAATTGTTTTATTGTTTAAAATCATTTGGTTTTAAACTTTTCTTAGGTGTCATAACCCTGTTTCATGCTTCACCTGGAAGCCTAACCTAGAAACCTGGAGATGCTCAGGGGAGGAGAGGGCAGGGCCTGCAGCCACTGAGCTCCTCAAACAGCCTCATGCTCCCAGCAGCTGCTCTCCATAAGCCCCTGGGAAAGAGCTCAAGGGAAGTGCTTCAGAGTAGGCCCCAGGAGTGTAGACACTTAAAATCAAAGACTTTTCCCCAAAAATGCATACAAAGGTATTTCATAGGTTCCCCCTCTCCCTTATTTTAAACTTTGCCCTAGGCAGTTTTTCTTTTTCGCTGTTTGAATGCTGCTACCACTTGTTTTGTAATAAGTGCTCCTGCAACAGGAAACAACTCTCCAAGGAGCAAAGATAATTAACTGAAAAACTAAAAAATAGGCTCCCTTTAAAATGTATGTAATCTTTTTCAGGTGAAGAGAAAACAGTCATCCTTCTGCTAATAATTGGTTCCTAGTTTACACATATTTAAATACAGCCATATTTCAACATGTTCACATAAGTAAATCATGGTTTCCCTGGCACTGAAATGAGTTTGAGAATCGCTGCTTTGGCGTAAAATCACACCATGCTCCTTATGCTAAGACTCATACACCAGGTATCAAAGAAAACATCTAAGTAGGTCGGCTTCTAGAAAGGTCAGTACTGACCAGCAGAACCAGATTCCTCAGCCTAGAACACAGCTCTTAACTAAGGACACCTTACCTAAACCACCACCCACCTCCCTCCCTCCCTCCCCTGCAGGCAATCTCCCCCGCTCTCCTCCAGGGCAAACCTCCATTCTAGCGCCCACCCCGACTCCTGACCCCAGAGTCTCCTCTGTGACTTCCTCCTGGGTCTACACTGAAACAACACATTTCAGCAAGAAAACGTCTGCCACCTTACTCTCACTTAAGGGTAAAGTGAGTCCACTGTTTGTAACTAGAGTCCTGAACTCACTCACTGAAGGAAGACCTAAGACAAGTCTGAAAGGTAATATATTACCATCACACACTTGAACTGAAAGGTTCTTAGCTGCAAATCACAACGTGCCTGATAATCTGCAAATACACGTGGTCTTGTTGTTAGTTATGGGCAGCGGTAAATGTTTAACAACCGGCTCTCCTGAGAAAAGAGGCCCAGGTTTGGGGCATTTGCCAATTTTCATGGTATTAGTAGCACTCCAACCATGGCAGATTTCAACTACCAACTTGACTTCAACCAACTCACAAGATCCTGAAAACCTAATAATTAGCTAGTGTGAGATAGCACAGCAGTAGGTGGGGTCTAGAGTCAGACCAATGTGAATATAAATATTATTGATTTTAAATATGAATATGTAAAATCGGCAAAAAATCCAAGCAGCTCACGGCCTTCTTTTTAAACTGCAGGCACAGATACCAGCAAGATTTTATCCATATCAATAAACTGATACTATCAATGGAAAAAAAAACTGTTTACCTTATAATCAAGGTGTCCACACATGCTACTGTCCAAACTAGGGCTTCTGAGAGTGAAAGGGGATGATATTAACAATTATACCAGACTACAGGAGTAAACCAAAACTGTGAAGGTTAAACCAGTACATATGGCTTCTTATTTTTTAGATGCACTAAATTCTTTCCAAAGGGCTCCTGAAGCAGGCTTATTATTTAATGGTAAAATGATACTTTTTATTCATGTAAATATATTCATCCATCTCAGCACGTAACTTGTTGAGTACCATGGGTGACTAATGTGCTTGAGGGATGCAACCCTATAATACATGATTCTTGACCTCAGGGAGCTTAAAATCCAATGCAGTGGATGACATAAGTACCTACAGATGTGAGAGTGACAGTGCAAGCATTACAGCCATGCAGATGACCAGGGAGCCTGAGGTGATCAGGAAAGCAGAGAGGATGGGGAAGCTGAAGAGGAAGGATTTCTGAAAAGCAAAGATGTACAGAGGGCATTACAGATGTGAACCAAATGGGAGCAGAAAGCTTTTTTGGGGGGCAGTGTGGTGACAGAGGAGGTTATAATTATCTAGAAGAACATACTGAGCCACTGAACACCCGCTGAAACAGTCTGCACAAAATAATGCTTCAGGAAAAGCTATTCTGATGCCACAGTGGATTGGAGGACGCAGAGAGACTAGTTAGAAGGCTTCTCCAGTACTCTGAGACTGATGTGAAAAAGAGTATGAATTAAGGTGATAGCAATGGAAGTGAAAAAAGTTTGCACAATCTTTTATAATTGTCTTCATATATGTGAAAGGATTTACGAGTTTTATGTATTAACCAATTAACACATCTTAAATGTCTTAATTAGACTCATGCAGAAAATTTAGTATATTAAATACTGCATTCATCACAGTGAAATGATAATCTCTTGACAAAACTGAAAACGGGCAGTTTACCTGTTACAATCTTGAATGCAGCCACTGCAATTTCCGTCTTTTAGGTAACATGCTGCTCTATTTGAATATAAGATACTTAGATCATCTGCATTTCCACTTCCTAAAATCACATTTAATTAAATACAGTTAAAATACATTAGCGAAATCACAGTTCAACAGACAGCTGAGGTCTTCCGCGGCACTGCAGTCCTACACCCCGCTGCTAATGCAGCTCCGAGGACCTCCCTGTGCCCGCAGTGGCCACAGAGGCCAAGCCCGTAAGGGACCGCTGCAACCGTGCCCCGCCCGGGCACACGCTACGCGTTCCAAGATACAGCTCCCGGAGGTGGAGTCGCTCCCGCCCTGCCCTCGGTTACTGGGAAGGAACCTACAGGGCGAGCGCCTGTCAATCGGGAGGTGGCCCGCGCCTCTCCCGCGGTGGCCCCTTTAGGTCCCGCGAGCCGCAGCCCGAGGGGACAGGGACCCCGCGGGCGAAGCTCACTCACCTGCAGGCTCCAGCTGCGCGATCACCGCCGAGTACCTGAGAGCCGCCTCGGCGAACTGCCCGTTTTTAAAGAGCTCGTTGCCCTGGCTCTTCAGGCCGGCGGGGCCGACTGGGGCGGCGGGCGCCGGCGCCGGCGGCGCGCCAGGTCCGGGGTACGCGCCGGGACCAGGGGGCGCGCTGGCCGCGGGGCCCCCCGAGCGCCGCCCGCCGCCCGGGTGTCCATTGGAGCCGCCCGCCGTCGCCGGGGCCCGCGGCCGGTCCCGCTTGTCCGCCCCGGCCTCCGGCGCCCGGCCCCGCCGCGGCGCGCCCCTCTGCGGCCGCCTGCCGCCCTCGCTCTTGCCAGTCAGCTTCTTCTGGATGTTGCCCATGGCGCGCGGCTGGGCGGCGCGTCCGGCAGGCGCCGGCTCCGCGGCCTCTGTGGGGAGTGGATGCGGGAAGTGAGTGTTTGCATCATCGCGAGCAACTACCAGGGAGGCCGCGGCGGTGCCGGCGCAGGGGCGGGGTCGCGGGAGAAGCCAGGCAGAGTGGGCCCGCCCCTCGGGCGGAATCCGGCGGTTCCGGCGCCTTTGGGGGACCGGTTGGCCCAGAGGGTTAACAGCGGAGGTCGCACTCTGAGCCCTAGTGGCTTCCCGGGCTAGGGACGGAAGCCAACCCCGGATTTAACTCTTCAAACGCTGAAGAGCTTGTAACGTGAAAACCGGCATTTCAAAATCATTCCCTTCATCAACGCATACGTATCGAGGTAGGTCTTACAAAATATGTACTTTTCTTCCATTTACAGTTTAGAAATGAATGAATGAAGTTACTAAAACTTGAATACAATAATTGCACCCAAAGTTAGGGCACCCTTTCCTTATGTTAAGGGACTGGGAGAAGATAATTTGAAAAAAAAAAAAGTCCAAGTGATTTTTAAGCCATTTAAAAATGATTTTAGCAAAGAACTCACATAAAACAGGCACCTGGTTTTTAAAGTGAACCTTAAAAAGATAGTAAAATTTCCAGTACAATACCTTATTCAAACTTAAAAGTTCCTTTGATCTTGATTGAAAGATTTCAGGTACTTATCAGAGCTTAAATAATTGATTATTGAATTGATATTTAAATAGGCAAATGATGCATAAATATTTCATTGATGGGTGTCTTAATATTTAAAACAAAGCAATTCATCATTTCAAAGCACTAAATGCAGAGACTTCCCAGCTTTCTCTTGTAACAAATTCTAATCTGATTTTTAATGAATCTATTTCCCATTCTGTTTCATGAATGGTAAAGCCAGAATTTGAAGCACAAAGACAGAGGAAGTAGAAAACCACTAGTACTTAAATAAAAATCAGTGGATGATCACCTTAAGGCAAGCAATGAGTATAAAAACACACTAATTAATAAATACAGCTTTCTATACAGCAGAATGACATCCAGTTTTGGATCACTAACCAAAAGGGGCTTAACAATAAAAAGATGATCTTATTATAGAGATAAATCCCCAAATGGGACCCAGAGCAAGGCTCCAGTACTCTTCATCTGGTATCTGCTGCTCAAGTCCCACCCAGCATAAAAATGGATGGAAGCTTAAGTCAGTAGAAACGATGGACAGCTAGTATTATTTTCTATTCCCTTGTATGTCTGACCAATACTATTACTAAATAGCTGCCATTTATTTAGAACTTAACATGGGTCAAGACCTTTACATACATTATCATTTTTCATTATCGTTAATCTTCATACCAAGTATTGTCCCCACATTACAAATGAAGCAAGAGAAACACATGGAAGAAGCTAAGGAATTCTCTCAAGCATGAAGAGCTAGAAACCAACATAACTGAGATTCAAATGAAATGAATGCTGTACCTCTTTCCTTAAGACTGAAATGCCCCTTAACATTTTCCTGCAAAGGTAAGCAGAGGCCTGAACATGAAAGACCTGTGAGTCCTGTTGGGTATTTAACTACCTGTGGGACATTCCAGAGGAGTTGTTCAGGAGGTAGCTCCAAATGTAGGTCAGAGGAGGCCTTATCTAGAGACATTGACTTGGGAATTGCTGGCATAAAAAGGATCACTGAAGTTTGAGTGTGAATGGAGTCACCGAGATCTTCCAAAGGATCCTAAGAAATAAAACACTTAAAGGGGGGCTTCCCTGGTGGCGCAGTGGTTGAGAGTCCGCCTGCCGATGCAGGGGACATGGGTTTGTGCCCCGGTCCGGGAAGATCCCACATGCCGTGGAGCAGCTGGGCCTGTAAGCCATGGCCACTGAGCCTGCACGTCTGGAGCCTGCGCTCTGCAACGGGAGAGGCCACAACAGTGAGAGGCCCGCATACCGCAAAAACAAAAACAACAACGAAAAAAAAACCGCTTAAAGGATGATCAGAATCTCCAGTGGAGATGGAGGAGTACCTAGAAATGAGAGAGAAAACAGGAGGGTGTACTGCCTCAGAAACCAAGAAGAAAGAGTATTTCAGGGAGAAAGGAGTCAACAGTAACCAATATCAAAGGAAGGAATGGCCAAGAGTTTTGACTGCATAAGGATTAAAGAAAATCATTAGATCTGAAGACCACAAAGACTTCAGTACCCTGGGGTGGGGTGGTTTGGGTAGCTGGTAGATACAAAAATCCTCAATGAAATACTAGCAAACTGTTAAAAGGATTATACATCATGACCAAATGGGATTTTTCTCAGGAATGGAAGAGTAGTTCAACAGTAGAAAATCAATCTATGCAACAGATGACATTAAAGGACAAGGGGAAAAACTGACATGGTCATAACTGACATTGAAAAGGAACCTGACAAAATCCAACACCCTTTCATGATAAAAACACTCAGAAAACTAAGAAGAGAAGTAAAATTTCTCAACATGATAAAGTACTTTTATGAAAAACAGCTAACATCATACTCAATAGTGAAATCCTGAAAGCTTTCCCCTGAAGCTCAGGAACAAGACAAAGATGCTGTTTTCACTGCAGCTACTCAACATTGTACTGGAAGTTGTAGCCTGATCAATTAGACAAGAAAAAGAAATACATATTGGAAAGGAAAAAGTAAAACTATCTCTATTCATAGATGACATGATTATCTACAGAGATGACATGATTATGTCAAAGATGACATGATTATATACAGATTATCTATCTATACCTATATATATATAAATGTACATATATTCCCAAAGAATACACACACACACAAACCACTACTAGAGCTAATAAGCAAATTCAGCGATTTCAGGGTACAAGCTCAACATACAAAAATCAGTTGTTTCTATAAATTAGCAATGAAAAATCCTGAAAGGAAATTACGAAAATAATTACATTTACAATAGCATCCAAAGGAATAAAATATTTAGGAATAAATTTAACCAAGGCAGTGAAAGACTTGTATAATAAATATTGCTGACAGAAATTAAATAGGGCTTCCCTGGTGGCGCAGTGGTTGAGAATCTGCCTGCTAATGCAGGGGACACAGGTTCAAGCCCTGGTCTGGGAAGATCCCACATGCCGCAGAGCAACTAGGCCCATGAGCCACAACTAGTGAGCCTGCGCGTCTGGAGCCTGTGCTCCACGACAAGAGAGGCCGTGATAGTGAGAGGCCCGCGCACTGTGATGAAGAGTGGCCCCCGCTTGCCACAACTAGAGAAAGCCCTCGCACAGAAACGAAGACCCAACACCAACACAGCAAAAATAAATAAATAAACTCCTACCCCCAACATCTAAAAAAAAAAAAAAAAGATCCTTTAAAAAAAAGAAATTAAATAAATGGAAAAACATCTCTTGATCATAGATAGGAAGACTTAATGTTGTTAAAATATTAATACTATACAAAGCAGTCTACAGATTCAACATAATCCCTATCAAAACTCCACAGCTTTTTGGGCAGAAATGGAAAAGCTGATCCTCAAATTCATGAGGATTTTCAAGGGGCCTAGAATAGCCAAAACAATCTTGAAAAAGAGAACAAAATCAAAGGACTTACGCTTCAGACTTCAAAACTTATGGAAAGCTACAGTAATCAAAACAGCGTGGTACGACATAAGGATAGACATATAAACCAATGAAATAGAGAGTCCAGAAATAAACCCATGCATCTATGGCCATGTGATTGTTTTTTTAGGGTAAAATATGTTTGAATTTTTATCAAATGCAAATCATTGAAACATCTAAAAACCACAGCTTTGGACCATGTGAGTCAGTCAGGTGGTTTGTTTGTTTGAATACACCTTTATTATTTTTTTTGAGGTATAGTTGATTTACAATATTATATAAGTTTTAGGTGTACAAAATATTGATTCACAATTTTTAAAGGTTATATTCCATTTATAGTCATTATAAAATATTGGCTATATTCCCTGTGCTGTATAATATACCCTTGTAGCTTATTTATTTTACACATAGTAGTTTGTACCACTTAATCCAATACCCCTACCTTGTCCCTCCCTGCTTTCCTCTCCCCTCTGGTTTGTTCTCTATGTCTGTAAGCCTGTTTCTTTTCTGTTGTATCCACTATTTTATTTTATTTTTTAAATTCCACATATAAGTTTTATCATATAGTATTTCTCTTTCTCAGACTTATTTCACTAAGCATAATACCCTCCAATTCCATCCATGTTGTTGCAAATGGCAAAATTTCACTCTTTTTTTAAGACTGAGTAGTAGTCCAGTGTGTGTGTGTGTTACATTTTCTTTATCCATTCATCTGTTGATGGACACAAGTTGCTTCCATATCCTAGCTATTGTAAATAATGCTGCTATGAACATTGGGGTGCATATATCTTTTCAAATTAGTGTTTTCTTTTTTTTAACATCTTTATTGGAGTATAATTGCTTTACAATGGTGTGTTAGTTTCTGCTTTATAACAAAGTGAATCAGCTATACATATACATATATCCCCATATCTCCTCCCTCTTGTCTCTCCCTCCCACCCTCCCTATCCCACCCCTCTAGGTGGTCACAAAGCACCGAGCTGATCTCCCTGTGCTATGCAGCTGCTTCCCACTAGCTATCTATTTTACATTTGGTAGTGTATATATGTCCATGCCACTCTCTCACTTCATCCCAGCTTACCCTTCCCCCTCCCCATGTCCTCAAGTCCATTCTCTACGTCTGCATCTTTATTCCTGTCCTGCCCCTAGGTTCTTCATAACCATTTTTTTTTTAGATTCCATATATATGTGTTAGCATACAGTATTTGTTTTCATTTTATTTGAATATATACCCTGGAATGGAATTGCTGGATCATATGGTAGTTCTATTTTTAGTTTTGTGAGAAACCCTCATACAGTTTTCCACAGTGGCTATACCAATTTACATTCCTGCCAACAGTGCACAAGGGTTACATTTTCTCCACATCCTTGCCAGCATTTGCTCTTTGCGGTCTTTTTGAATGATAGCCATTCTGACAGATGTGAGGTGATATCTCATTGTGGT